GAATTGGAGTGTAATGTGATCAGATTTTCCCATTAGAGATGATTTTGTCTCCTGGGGGAGACAGAGACCAGAGAAAAGGATTATAAGGGGCTGGGTGAGAGAGGATGAAGCTTTGAACTCCTATGGCACGATGGCAACAGAGAAGAATGAATCTGACATCTGAAAAGTAGAATCAAAAGGATTTGGAGACCAACTGGCCATGGAGGTAGAGAATTAAAGGGGAATCTTGGAGATTGCTTGAAAGTTTCTGAAATGGCAACTAATAGAACAGAACATTTAAGTTAGGCTTCATGGCTCCAAATATGGAGCCTACATTTAGCTCTTTTTCTCTTAAATAGTTTTAAATATTTTGGTTCCCAGGACTAGATAATAGCAAGTAATGCATAGTTTTCACCATGTCAGGTTCTGTTTTTTCACCATGTCAGGTGCTGTTTGGAGTGCTCCAACTGTACTGTATTTTATTGAATCTCAAAGCCCAAGGGGGCGCCTGGCTGGATCAGTTGGTAGATCTCAGGGTTGTGAGTTCGAGTTCCTCATTGGGCATGGAATCTATGTAAAAAGAAGAGAGAGAGAGAGAAAGAAAGAAAGAAAGAAAGAAAGAAAGAAAGAAAGAAAGAAGAAAGAAAGAAAGAAAGAAAGAAAGAAAGAAAGAAAGAAAGAAAGATGGATGGATGATGCCTGGGTGGCTCAGCGGTTGGGCGTCTGCCTTTGGCTCAGGGTGTGATCCAGGAGTACCTAGATTGAGGCCCGCATCAGGCTCCCTGTATGGAGCCTGCTTCTCCCTCTGCCTATGTCTCTGCCTCTCTTTGTGTCTCTCATGAATAAATAATATCTTAAAAAAAGAAGAAATAAAGAAATAAAAGCCCATTAACTGTAAGACACACCATTAGCTAAAGTACCACTACAGGAAAAAAACACCGTCAACTAAACATGCATGACACAGAAGACAGACCTTCACTTCAGGAATGTTAAGAATAGATATCCTGGACTCCATGATTTATGGCATCTGCTCATTTAAAAAAAAATTACATGGGGGTCCCTGGGTGGCTCAGCGGTTTGATGCCTGCCTTCGGCCCAGGGCGTGGTCCTGGAGACCCGGGATCAAGTCCCACATCGGGCTCCCTGTGTGGAGCTGCTTCTCTCTCTCTCCCTCTCTCTCTCCTCTCTCTCTCATGAATAAATAAATTCTAAAAAAATTACAACAGCCCTCTGAAGTAGGTCCTAATATTATCTTTATTTTTCAAATGCGGAAACAGAGGCAGGGAGAGATTAGGTTTGCTCACTGTAGCTCTAGGCTCTCTCTGGGTAGCCAGTGGGAGAATCAGGATCTGGCTCCAATCTGGCTCTACAGTCTATGCTCTTAGCTCCAAGCACAGGCATCTAGTAAGCATTACATTCACAGTTCATTATATCCTCAGAAGTGTTTGTGTTATAGATGATACTAGAAACACTGGAGAAATGACACCTGCTTTGCAGTTCTGTCCTCAGTGGAAAGCAACCTAGAGTGCAGTCACAGTCAGTAAGCCCCTCAGGCTAGTGACGGTGGAGAGGGAGCTGTGTTGGCTTTGAGGAACCAAGAACACCTTGTTTTATCTTGCAGGAAACACTGTGTTTCCTCCTGTGTGGTTTCTGACTCTGACATTTCTTGTTGGAGACACAAGAAGTAGAAATGGACGTATCTGAAACAGTAATCATCTGGCATAGAGATACACTGTTTTTAATAAGGCCGCAATGTACAGATGAAAGAATTAGGACTTTGGGTCAGGATGAGCAGTGATAAATTAATTGTTCATTTCAATGAAGAGATATCTACTGAAAGTGTGCTACACACCAGGCACTGAGTTGGCCCAGGGAACCCAGAGATGAATTAAGGCCCAGTGCTGCCACCGAGTCTAGATGGACGGGGTGGTCAGACACGTACAATACAACCCTCAAAGATAATTGCCATGGATTTACACAAAATCATTCAAACTAACCCAAGAAGAGGGAGTGTGAGGGTACAATGGAAGCATGCTGGGTCACATGTGAGCTGTTGAAGCTGGTATGGTATTATACTTTCAAATACATTAACATTTTCCTATAGTAATAAAAATGAGAGAGGGAGAAGATAAAAGAATGAAGGACGTGTTCTAAAGGAGACTGTCCCAAGTTTAATAAAGGAAGATGCTTTATGGGCTCTTGAAAAATGCCATTTTAGTTAGCCTTGAGAAGTCATGGTGATTTAAGGAAACCAGAGCACTTGAAGGAAATCTCCAAGCCTAGGCTTCGAGGACAGCATTACATCCAGGTTCAGGATTATTGTCCTTACAGGGTGTGTTAAATTACCGTGTTTGTTGCTAACAAAAATCTACCAAAAAGATATAGTTGCCATAAAGGTACTTATACAGTACAGTGAGCATAAGAGAAAGAACAAGATATTCAAGAGGTGAGTTTTGAGAAGGCGGTGGAAACTGGATATAAGGTGAAAAAGAGAGCATTCCAGAATTCAGATTAGCATGAACGAAGATTCAAAAACAGAATAATGAAACTCAGTGAATGAGAAGGCAAATTTAGGCATCAGTGGGAAATAGGACCCTATAAAGCAAAGCGAAATGGCCTAGGGCCCTTAATTACCAAAATTAGTAGGATAGGAGTGCCAGGGTGGCTCAGTCAATTAAGTGTCTGACTTTGGCTCAGTTTGTGATGTCAGGGTCCTGGGATCCAGCCCCGCCTCAGGCTCCCTGCTCCGCAGGGAGTCTGCTTGTCCCTCTGCCACTCCCCTTGCTCATGCTGTCTCTCTCAAATAAATAAAATCTTTTTAAGAATTAGGGGACGCCTGGGTGGCTCAGCGGTTGAGCGCCTGCCTTCGGCCCAGGGCGTGATCCCAGAGTCCTGGGATTGAGTCCTACATCGGGCTCTTTGCATGGAGCCTGCTTCTCCCTCTGCCTGTGTCTCTGCCTCTCTCTCTGTCTCTCTTGTGAATTAAATAAATATTTTTTAAAAATTAGTAGGACAGGTCTACATATCTTCTAACGCATAGTACTTCGTAAGTGACAGATACTATCGTATTTTACAATCAATGGACTTTTACAAGACATTTGTGGAAATAATAAAAGTAATATCTTTTTAATATAAAATTATTCAAGATTTCTTGGAAATCATCTTGCATATTTTGGAAAATAAGTGTCTTCTATTTTTATGACTTGCTTGCAAGGCTTATTACTGCTACGGAGCCGGTGACCTCTCTACTGTGGCACGATGCCTCCCCACCGGGGATGACAGTCCTGCGCATTTCCTCCAAAGAAACGCTCAAGCAGAAGGTAGAACCTGGACTGGAACTTTAAGGACAGTTACAACAAAACCAAAATTGCTAAGCCCAGAAGCCCTCCCCCTGGGGTAAACTAATACAGCCTGTGCTCGGAATGACCCACCTCGGTTACATGCAAGGGACGCGGTACTGTTAGGATTTCACAAGGCCCCGTGCGACTGCTCGGAACTGCACTTTCCCATTAACTTTGCATCTAAGCTGAAAATGCTCCAGTCCCCGGATCTGGGCAGCAGTTTCGGAGGCCGTCTCCCTCACCCAACAACCAACAGAGTTCACCAACTTTCTGAAAACGCTGTAGCGAGGGGCTGTGTTTGTCCTTATGGTCACACACCCCTCTCCAAAGATATCAAAAGCACTTCATCCTCGATCTTCACCCTCCTGCTTTTACAATTTTCCTTAGTATGCTTTTTTTTTCTTTCCCTTCTTAGTGGATGTCAAACAAATCTAGATGCAAGTAACATTTTTACTACACCGTAAATCTTTTTTAAAAATAGATTTATGAAATATTTTATTTATTAGAGAGAGAGAGAGAGGCAGAGACACAGGCAGAGGGAGAAGCAGGCTCCATGCAGGGAGCCCGACGGGGGACTCGATCCGGGGTCTCCAGGGTCAGGCCCTGGGCTGAAGGTGATGCTAAACCGCGGAGCCACCCGGGCTGCCCTTTTTAAAATACTTTATTTCTTTATTCATAAGAGACACACAGAGGGATCCCTGGGTGGCGCAGCGGTTTAGCGCCTGCCTTTGGCCCAGGGCGCGATCCTGGAGACTCGGGATCGAATCCCACGTCGGGCTCCCGGTGCATGGAGCCTGCTTCTCCCTCTGCCTGGGTCTCTGCCTCTCTCTCTCTCTCTTTCTATCATAAATAAATAAAAATTTTAAAAAAATTAAAAAAAAAAGAGACAGAGAGGCAGAGACCCAGGCAGAGGGGAGCCTGTCGGGGGGACTCGATCCCAGGACTGTGAGATCAGGACCCGCGCCGAAGGCAGGCGCTCAACCTCTGAGAGCCTTTGGCTCAGGTCGGGATCCTAGGGTCCCGCGGGGCGGGGACTTGATCCCAGGATCACAACCGGAGCCAAAGGCAGAGGCTCACCCACTGAGCCACCCAGGTGCCCCTACACCTGCTTTATTTATTTTTTTAAAGACTGTATTTATTAGAGACTCGCACTCACACAGAGGCAGAGACACAGGCAGAGGGAGAAGCAGGCTCCATGCAGGGAGCCCGACGTGGGACTCGATCCCGGGGCTCCAGGATCACGCCCTGGGCCGAAGGCGGCGCTGACCCGCTGCGCCACCAGGGATCCCCCGACACCAGCTGTAGAGCGCACTCACATGCGATGTATTATAGCTTAAATACTGGGAAGAAAAGAATACGAGTCCACCGGTTCGCGGCCGCCTTCTCCCGCTGGGGTCCCTGGACCCAGCCTCCAAGACCTCCGGTCGTCCGGCCAGCACCGCGACACTCGGCCAGGACGGCGGCTCCGGGGGCTTCCTAACGGCCAGGGGTGTGGAGGGGCGAGAGAGCGACTCCCTCCTGCCCCGCCCCGGGGTCGCCCCGCCAGAGCCCCGCTCGCGGTCCACCCAGCCGCTCCGCTCCCCGCCGCCCGCCACTTCCTTCTTCCGGAGACGGGCGCTGTTCCGGCGCGGGGCCTGCGTCATCAGCCGGCGCCTGCGCCTGCGCCTGCGCCTGCGCCGCCCAGGCGCGCGGGGCCCACGCTCAGAGCCGGATGCTCGCGTGCGGCGCGGGGCCCCGGGCGCTGGGAGGAACGCGGGGCGCCGCGGCTCTGCCCCACCATGCAGGTGTCCAGCCTCAACGAGGTGAAGGTTTACAGTCTCAGCTGCGGCAAGTCGCTGCCCGAGGTGAGGCGCTTCGGGGTCCCCCTCCTGGCGACGCGGCCGCCCCTGGCCTCGGCCCTGACTCCGGGGGGGGGGGGGCGGGGGCGGTCGGTGCTGGGACACCGGGACCTTGCTGTGCCGAGGGTGGGTGATGGGCGCCGGACAGCTTCGCTGCACCTTCCGTCGGGTTCTCTGGAACAGAGGACGCGTCCCTTTGGGCTTCGAGGGATGCTCCCAGCCTCCGCCGCACGGAGGACGGAACAGATCGGTTACAGAATTTAGGGTGTAGAGGGCAGTGTCTCTGAGCCTTGCTGACCTTACCTTGATGTCATCGAGTCTTGGGACCTTAGGACCTCAGGACCTCGGAATTGGAAGGAGCTGGGAAAACGGCGATTCCTTTACAGTCTTATATTTAAAATGTGCAACAGATCCGGTGATGGGAACGGTGACTGCTTATCCAAGCTCACACACCTGTGCCCTGAGGCTTGTTTTTGTTTTTTGTTTTTTTTTTTTACTTCTTAAAAGTTTCAGTCAAGCCTCTGTCCAACTGCTTCCAGCGAGAGGAGACTTGTAGCGGAGGCTGATTTCCGTTTTTAGATCACTGATTAGATACTGGTTTTATTTATTTATCTATTTATCTGTCTATTTGTTTAAAGATTTTATCTATTCATGAGAGACACACAGAGAGAGGCAGAGACACAGGCAGAGGGAGAAGCAGGCTCCATGCAGGGAGCCCGACATGGGACTGGGTCCCGGGTCTCCAGGATCACGCCCTGGGCTGAAGGCGGCGCTAAACCGCTGAGCCACCCAGGGATCCCCTAGATACTGGTTTTAAAACTTGTCATTTAACAGCATGCTGGTGTGGATTTGACTCTCGCCCTTAGAAATCAGAATACAGGGCAGCCCAGGTGGCTCAGTGGTTTAGCGCCGCCTTCAGCCCAGGGCGTGATCCTGGAGTCCCGGGATGGAGTCCCACGTCGGGCTCCCTGCATGGAGCCTGCTTCTCCCTCTGCCTGTGTCTCTGCCTCTCTGTCTCTCTCTCTCTCTGTGTCTCTCATGAATAAATAAATTAAACCTTTAAAAACAACAATAAAAAAGAAGTCAGAATACATGTAGCTCTTTGCGGGGTCTGCCCCTGAAAGACCTGAAGTCAGGGATTCGATTTGTCCTCTCTTTTCAGAATTCAGGCTAGGTAGTTTCTCATCTTCCAGTTTTATTCTTCACACACAGTATGATCTTTTCTCATTTTGTTCATTCCCCACATTTGTTGAGAGGTCACTGCACGCGGGCAGCCCTGTTGTGAGTGTTGGGATGCACAGAGAACACGTCCCATCAAAGTTCCCTGTTGGGATAAAGGTTGAGTGAACAAACGAGGAGTCAACTGCAGATAATGATTAAGTGCTTTGAGGGACGTGTGAGTAGAGGAAAGCGTCGTGGCGAACGTGGTCAGAGAAAGTATTTTGGGTAAAGCCTTCGTGGAAGGCCTCTCCACCAGAAGTATAGGAGCAGAAGCTTGGATAAGGAAAAGGAGCCAGTCGTGTGAAGCTGGGGAAAGAGTTTTCAGTGCTGGGAGAACAGAAAGTCTAAGTGTTTCCAGATTGGAATGCTCTTGGCATGTTGGAGAAACAGAAGAAGCACAGGTGTAGGTGTGGCTGTGTTTGGCCGGGGTGGGGTGGGGGAGAGCAGGGGTAGGTAAGGCTGGAGAGGTGGGCCCTGAAGGTTGAGGTAGGGAGTTGGGGGGTTGTCCTTAGTGCTGCTGGAAGCCATCGTTGGGCTTTAGTGTGAGCTGCTGTGTGCAAATGACTGTCGCTGGGGGAAGCAGAGTGGGGATGAGGTTGATGGGCCACCTGAGAGACTTGGGCTTTGGAATTACACTGCCCACTGTGCTGAGCTCCATTAATTTCAGAATGAAATCTGCCATCGATGAATTTGACTTAAAAGTGTCATTTCTTCATTATCAGGTATCAGCTGTTTGGTTAGTTGATGATCTACTTTTCTTCTTTGTAAAAAAAAAAAAAGTTTCTGTAAGAAACTTTCTCCTTTTAATGTTTTACTGATTAATATTTCACGTGAATAAAGTTATCCCATATGTTAGTTGTAACCCCTAATATTTGAGGCTTATTGCCTTCCGGATGAATTCATTTTCTGTGGTGTCAAACATAGTAGTTCTAGAATTTATTATGTAATGCGTCTAAATATGTAGTAGAAAAAAAATCCAGAGGATATGGTAACAAGGTTGGGATCAGAGAATATTTTCACTTCCTATGTGAATGTATTCCTGTAATGTTTTGATTTTTTTTTTAATATGAGCATTTTTGTAAGCAGAAAAGCAAAGTAGTTATGTTTTGAAACTGTCTCTTCATTTTCTTTAAGTGGCTTTCTGACAGGAAGAAGAGAGCACTACAGAAGAAGGATGTTGGTAAGTATTATTTTTTCCCACTTTGGCTATATTCATGATCCATGTTATAATGCTTTCACACATTTGTTGTTACATTTAAGTGGAGGTTTGCAAAAATATGGCTCAAAATATGCTTTTTTGCCCTTTTCCATCTACAAAACCTTATGCTGTAATTGATAACGTTCCTTCCGGTGGGTGTGGGGTTTAATTCTACCTATGTATAACCAAATAAGTTAGCCTGTTACTATTTCATGGATAATAGCAGAGGATGCAAGACTCCTGGGTTGGAGATGAGGACTCTGTTACTCAGTGTGGCATGGCAGGTAGCAGACATGTCAGCATACTGCTGTCAGTTCTCTTTGCCCTGAGTCCCCCAGGGGCACTTAGATAGCCCCGCAGCTGCTGGCCACACAGGGGGCTTGTATTGAAGCTGAGGGACTCTGAGCTTGGGGAGTCCGCTGCTTTTATAGCAATCAGGAAGCAAGCCTGCTTTGTCCAGAGGAGACGTGTTACCTGTCCAGGTTCTTAGCTGTACAGGTAACCCAGAGAACTGGCTCAAGTGAAGGCATGGCTGGGGCATTGTGGCCTTATCATACCTAGCAAGATGTATAGGAATGTCAGAGGCCCAAGGAGGACAGTCTGTCCTAGCAGTGCCATAATTGCCTTGTTCCGCATTGTGTCAATTTTTTTTTTTTATTAAAAGATCATTGCAGAAGATTTTGATTCTTTAATTGATGGTGGTTGGGAAGAATATAAGATCAGTTGTTTGTTTGTTTTAAAGGGGGACTGACAGATTGTGACTCCCAGGCATCCCACAAAGTAGGCCGGTCACCTTTGCGGCAACCTTTACCCACTTAAAAATTCACCTCACATTAACAGTGAGGATTCATGTGTCACACTGAATTATTTTCCTTACTCATAACTTTGAGGCATTGAGGCATTGATCGGGTTGGTTTCTTTTTTTTTTTTTTAACAAATTTTCACTAAATTTTCTCCATCACAACTTGTCATATAAGAAAGATGATTTACTTTCCATATATATTGTTTAAATTTGTCTCTAAAAATCAAAGACTAAGATGTTGAAGGGGTTTCTTCTGGGTGTGAGATAAATACCCCAAGGCAAGCATCTTGCAAGAGATAGCTTTGTATAGCTGGGACTGAAGTTAGATGAGAAAACTTTGAGTCAAAGGAAAATGAGAACTGCTGCCCTAGTAATGTTCACTGATTTGGATTTCTTCTGATTCCCCCATCTACTCCAGCATCCAAGTGTGTAGGAAAACAGATTTAGATGACTTAGAGGAAAAAACTGTTCATGAACTCTTTCAGCCCATCTCAAAACTATTGTGTATCTTCCATATCGAGTGGGCCATTCCTACTCAGCTGGTTTGAATCTTATATTTGGGTTTAATTTAATAAACAAGGCAGTAATGTGCCATAGAGTCATAAACAGTCCTTGCAGTAGACCCATTGTTACTATAGCAACCCGCAAGAATCCACACATTTTTATAGAAAAGGGAACCAGGTGTTGTGAGAATCCATGTTTGTGTTTTGATCCAGAGAGATTGCTCTAAATCTTTACCCTGGGTCCTCTCAGCTCAGCTGTGTGCCAGTTTCTTGGTAGCAGTTTCTTACATTAACTTAAGATTTGAAAGTTTTAAACTTATTATTATTTAGAAGGAAAAAAAGATAAGATTTTTGTCTTACCTATGACTGAGTAATAATAGTGGTATGATGTTTGTTGTTTCCCCTTTATCCAGATTTTGAAACTGGATGTTTGTTTCACACCATTATGGACATTTTTCTTTTCAAGTAGTGATGATATTTTTTCTGTTTAAAAAGTAAAAATAAGAGGTGCCTGGGTGGCTGAGTGGGTTACCCATCTGCTTTCAGCTCAGGTCATTATCTCAGGTCCTTGGAATGTTGGGCTCCCTGCTCAGCGGGGAGCCTGTTTCTCCCTCTGCCCCTCCCCCCTGCTCATGCAGGCTCAGTACACTAAGTACTGAGCTTAGAAAACTAATGTATGAGCTAAGAAAAAACCTCCCCATGTGATAGGTGGGTCTGTACTGATGTGCTTTCCCAAGGCTCGGAAGTACGGGGACGTTGATGACCTGTTCATAGTGATTGTTCTCTGTGGTTTGTCTTTTTATGAAATAAAATAAGCACTTGGTAGTTAAACCCATTACTTATTTCCTCTCTTTGTAGATGTCCGTAGGAGAATTGAACTTATTCAGGATTTTGAAATGCCTACTGTTTGCACCACTATTAAAGTGTCAAAAGATGGACAGTATATCTTAGCAACTGGTAAGTATCATTACATACGTGATTTACATACATTTTATAGTAGGAAATGCTAGGGTGGGAAAGGTCACTTCTTTATTTAACATTTTATTATAAACCATTTCAAACATACAGAAAAATACTGAAAAAATTGTATAGTAAACATCTCTTTACCTATCACCTAGGTTCTCATTAGTGTTTTGCATGACCATATCTCTCCATCTCTGTGCATCCATCCATTCATTCTGTTTCTTAATGCATTTCAGAGCAGGTTGCAGATACGAGTGTCCTTTTCTGCCACATCTTTTGAGGAGTTTTGACAGAGGCATACACCTGTGTAAGCCAAATCCCAGTCAAGATCCAGAACATTCCTTTTACCCAGAAATGTCTTTCATGGCCCTCATCATCCTGCTCCCACCCATGCAGAGGCAATGCTCTGTGGTTTGTGTGTTGTTGTTGTTGTGTTGTTGTTTTGGTACTGGTGACAAGTGCAACCTGTTTTGGAACCTTACATAAATGCAGTCATACTTTGTGGATTATTTTTATATGGGACTTATTTTCTTAGGACTTTAAGATTCATATGTGTTATGTATGTCAGTAGTTTTTTCTTATTACCAAATAGTATTTCCTTATAAAAATAGAGTTTATTTATCTATTCTCCATTTAATAGACACCTGGACTGTTCTAATTTTTTGGCTGTTATTGATAAAGCCCTGTGAACAACCCTATACAGGCTTGTTTTGAGAACCTTGCTGGGTCATAAGGTCTTTTTAGTTTTAGTTTTAGAGGGAGCTGCCAGACTTTTTCCAAAGTCAGATCATTTTACATTCCTACCAACAATGATTGAGAGTTTCAGGAAGGGTTACTTATAACATAACTTACTGTATAATGGACTAATATTTTTTATGCCACTAAGCATTTATATTAGTAATATTCATCAGTTTCAAGTGATATGAGTGTCACTCGTATAAAATATAGGGAACTTTTAATGTTTTATAATTTAGAAGAGTATTACCCAGGGTGTGGTTTGGCTGTGCTTTTGGTACAATATCCTGTGTATTGGCCATATACTTTTTTTGCTTCGCTGGCTTAACATGCATTTGTATCCCTTTTCTAAACACTTTCTTATTTGACAGAACTTTTATACATCAACATGCCAGTGTCTCTTACTCTGTAATGGTTGTCTCAGTACTAACACTATGCACATTTCTTAGCCTCCAGTTCATATGTAAGAACTATGTATGCCATATGTAGTTTTATACATAAATTTATGGAATATATTGTATATAGTAACGGTGTTTTTTTTTTTTTTTGTGTGTGTGTGTGTGTGTGTATATTTTACACTTTTTAAAAATGAGCCAAAGGCAGATGCTTAACCACTGAGTCACCCAGGCGTCCCTATTTTTAAATGAGGTCTTAGGAACTCAAAGATTACCTTATTTCCTTTTTAAAAAATATTGGCTTTAAAAATCAGTCTTTTTCTTTTCTTAATAATGCAAACATGATAAACTTACAAAAAATGAAGACATTACAGAAATATAAAAGATAAAATGTGAAAGGCCCTAAAATTGGGCTTCACAGAGATGAACAATCACTGTGCAGAGTACTTACATGATCAGTGTTGAGTCTTACAAACATGGGGTGATAGGCACCACTCTGCAGCACTCACCTGGTCCTTCTGTCCTCTCCCTTTACTTGGTAGTGTGTTTTGGCAGCTTTCCTTGTCAGTACAGGTCTTCATCCTCCACTTTATGAGGTGTATGATGATTTGCCATCATTTATTTAATGATTTTTCTATCAGTGGACATTTTACTTCCTTTCAGCTTTGGGCCATTTGTAAACAGTGCTGCAGTGAACACTCTTCATGTCTTGCTATATGTTTCTCTAGGACAAATTTGTATAAGTTGAAATAAGGATTCCAGGTATATAAACATCACATATTTTACAGATTTTGCCAGGTTGTCCTTCAAAGAAGTTGTAACAATTTATACTAATCACCAAGTGTGTGAGAGTACTTCTTTTTTTAACACCCTCATCTACACAGATGTTAACTGTCTTTTAATCTTTGCCATTCTGATAAACAATAGCTATTTCATTGTTTTAATCTACTTTGTTAGATTGTTTGTGAAGTTTATTAGTTTTTTGTATTTCATTTTCTGTGACTTGCTTGTTTGTATTCTCTGCTGATTTTTTTGTTTTTTAAAGATTCATTTATTTATTTATGATAGACATAGAGAGAAAGAGAGGCAGAGATACAGGAGGAGGGAGAAACAGGTTCCATGCCGGGCGCCCGACGCGGGACTCGATCCTGGGACTCCAGGATCGCACCCTGGGCCAAAGGCAGGCGCCAAACTGCTGAGCCACCCAGGGATCCCCCTCTGCTGATTTTCTTCTTGGGTTGTTGAAAAGGGCTGCTTTTAGATTCTTTTTCTTTCATGAGGTTATAATGAATCCTATTCATCTCAGAACAGTAGGTATACTTAATACACCTGCAGGGTATTGACAATGAAAAGTATGTCCTTTAGGTTTTACATCACATTAATTTTTTTTTATAGGAACATATAAACCTCGGGTTCGATGTTATGACACCTATCAGTTATCCTTGAAGTTTGAAAGGTGTTTAGATTCAGAAGGTAAGTAAGAGATAAAATTTGAGTTGACAAAAATAGCTTTTTTATATGTGGCTACTCTTCTGCTTTTTAAAAATGGAGATGGGCCATGTATAAGTTTTCTTTGCTGTGTAATGGAGTGCCATGAATGTGGTAGCTTAAAACATCCATTTATTAGCTGATTGCTCTGTGAAGTTCATCTAGGCTCTGCTGTGTCCTGTTTTCAGGGCTGACCCAAGCTGTCAGCCAGGCACATCTGGCTCTTACTCAGAAACTCTGGGTGAGAATCTGCTTCAAAGCTTCCCGGGTGTTGGCAGAATGCGGTTTGTTTTGCATGTGGGGCTGGGGTTCCCGTTTCCTGCTGGCTGTCAGCCTGAGGCCACTCTCAGCTCCTGGAGGCTGCCTGCATTCCTTGTCACCTGGTCTTCTCCACCTTTAAACCAGCACCTACTTGTTGGGTCCTTCTCCTGGTTTGATTTTCTTACTTCCCCTTCTGCCACCAACAGGAGAAAACTGATTTTAAAGAGCTCTTGTGATTATAAATCTCCCCATTCACCATCCAATGCAATATAGTCACGGGTGGCCCACCACACTCATAGGCTTCGCCCTCTCTGCAGGGAAGGTGACTGTACCAGAAAGGCAGGGAAAGTGGACGGATTTCTGTCAGGTGCCTGGTTTTGAGGCATTTGAGAGAAAAGCAGTTAATAGACTAAGTCTTCTCCAACTGGTTTTACTCTTTTCTTTTTCAAAACAAGCCGAACTTCTGCATGCTGCTAATAGCAACTGTTTTCACTCTTCATATGTGTTTAGCAGATATACAACAAAAGGGTAAAAAGCTGCTGTTCTCTTTTTTAAGTAAATAATTAAAGAATTTTTGAATGTTCTTTAATGTCTATTTGTATTTTGAACTCAGAAAAACTGGGAAAGTCTAGAAGTCATTTTGTTTTGTGAGTTTAATTCGCTTCAGTTCTGCAGAAAATCTGATCCATCTGTATTGAGAAATTAAAAAGCTTTTAATTTTCCACTTGTTTTAGGGCCAATATAATATGGCAACTTTATTATTTTATAAAAGGACAAAAAGGGGGAGAACCCAGTATTTGCATATAATTTTTGTGTTGAATTAGAATCTGCATCAAATTTGCATTTGTATGAAAGTGGATTGATAATTGTAATTTTTCTTACTCTTTCCTGTTTTTCAGTTGTCACTTTTGAAACTTTGTCTGATGACTACTCAAAGGTATGCTTGATAGTGCTGGTCAGTACTGGTCATGATAGATATTTCTATGATGTTCCCATTGTTACGTTAGGAATGGCTGTGTAGTAAAATAAAACCTATAATTTCTATTAATATATTTTTAGTTTGACCACAGGTGTGATACATAAAGTATCTTTTAAGACAACAGTGATGGCCTTTGGCCAGTCTAATTAAGTTTTCTATATAACATATGGAACTTTATCTACATCGTCAAGAATTGGTAGCAGCCATCTCTTTTTAGGCCATGTTAGATTGTAGATTTGTGATTTTTAAGTATTTCCTTTAAACTAGTATTATTTACCAAGTTGCTTTCATATGTGAGCAGTAAAATAGTATTATATGTCTAATTTTTTTAACCCTGCAAACAGATGGTCTTGGAACAGTTCGAAACACAGTTAAATTCATCTATTTTTTCTTGTCTGTTTTTGGTGCCATTAGTCCATCTTTCAACTTATGTCATTTTCAGTAGTTATAAAATTGTCAGAGTACCTTATTCAATTTAAGGTATGTTAAAAAATAAAAATAAATTTTTAGTGATGTCAGATATCACTGTGAAGGAAAATGGAATTTTCTGAGCTGACCTGGCTTTATGTATTGTCTTCAGTTCTGGAAACTGTGGAATGTAGTCTATTCTTTTGCCTAATAGTGGTCAGTAATTGTGTTTTTGGGAACATATAATTCCCTGAGTGGCAATTGTGAGATTATTAAAATGTGTTAAGTTAAATAGGGAATTACTTGAGGTTGCTGAGCAGTGCTCCACGTTGTAAAGTGCTGGAGCCAGGTAAATGAAGGGCGTTTGTTTTAAGTCTCTGTCAGAGGCAAGAAAAACTATCTTGGGTTCAGGAAAGCAATAAGAAAGCATGGGAGAAAAAAAAAAAAAAGAAAGCATGGGAGAGGTTTGATTCTTAGTCATGATAGAGAGTTAGTTGTGTGTGCACACGTACGTGTTACAGAGAGGGAGGGTGGGAGGGATCAGAGTTATCTAGCTCCATCGGTTCTAGTGGTGATGAAGTAAATGCTTTACCTAGAAACCTCAGCAAACTCATGTTCTTGTTTCATTTTCAGATTGTTTTCTTACATAATGATAGATACATCGAATTTCATTCACAATCAGGTTTTTACTACAAAACCAGAATACCAAAGTTCGGGAGAGATTTCTCCTACCACTATCCATCCTGTGACTTGTACTTTGTTGGCGCAAGGTATTGGGTCCGATCCTTTGTTTTCTCCACCCCACCCCCCACCCCCCAGCTTCTGTTGTTGAAATCAAGAAGAGGGATACAAAGAGGAATAAGACATGATCCCTGCCTTTCAGTTGCTTGAAGGATATAGTTCCAGAGTAACTGCTCATTTGGGAATTACATCCTTGGCTTTTATTAGCATGGTGCTCTGAACCTAGCGCCATGTGGGCACCTCATAGGGTCATATTGGTGGTGAAGGTGATTTCCTAGTCCCATTGCACAATGTTTTAAAATCTCATTTTTAAAAGCTACCTTCTATATGATGATAAAAATAATACATATCCATTTTAGAAATTTGGAAAATATAAAAAAGTATTAAAATCACCCATCATCATGCCTTCTAGAGGAAATCCTTATAAGTATTCAGTTGTATTTCCTTAAAGTCTTTTCTGCTATATACATACGGATCCATTTTGGATCTTGTATTCTCTGTGTTATTTGTAAATAACATTCCACCTGATAAATTCTTTTTTTTTTTAACCCTTTGATTTTTTTGTTGGAGTTCAATTTGCCAACATTTAGCATAACACCCAGTGCTCATTCCGCCAAGTGCCCCCCTCGGTGCCCATCATCCAGTCACCCCAACCCCCGCCCACCTCCCTTTCCACTACCCCTTGTTCGTTTCCCAGAGTTACCACCTGATAAATTCATAATATTTTCTTTTGTACATGAACAAACTCACAAAAAGTGATTATTTTTTAGGTTTAAAATACATTTTGGTTTAAGTTTTACATGGGGAAGTAATGCCCTGTAAGCAAAAGATATATGTACATACTTCTAAAATTTATATTTACTTGAAGTGAAGTTCATTGCAATTTACCAGATTTCTAACTTAATTCAATTCATTACTTTGCAGCTCTGAAGTTTATAGATTAAACTTAGAACAAGGACGGTACTTGAATCCTCTACAGACTGATGCTGCGTGAGTGTTGTTGTTGGAATACTGCTGTATTTCTCTTGGCCAGGAGATGGAGCCAAATGCTCAAGTTATCAGATGGCATGTTGCATTTAAAGGAGCGTGGGGCAACTTAGTTATTTAAAAAAGTATCATTGAGTTTTTTCTTAAATATAAAATTCACTGAAAGACCTGGTGATTTCTTTAAAATTTTAATTTTAAAAATAAAATAAAATAAAAATTTTAATTTTTTAATATACTTGAAAATTTTATAACTACAAAGTTCAGTTTATTATTTTTTGGAGTGTTCTTTAACTTTTCATTTATGATTTTGTTCTGTGATATCTCGTGGAGAAATTTTGGATTATTTGCAATATGACTTTTTAAATTTTATTTTTTATGTTTTTGCTGGCAGACATTTAAGGTTTTTTTTTCAAGTTTTCCTTCCCCCCCCTCACATTATAGTCTGTATTTCTATTTTATTCAGAGAGAAATCCTTTAGGGATTAATTTATCATAATAATAATACTGAGTAATAATGACAATGGTAACAGTGAAAGCGCTTACTCTGTGCCAGATATTCAGTATTTTATACATATTAGCTCATTTTAAACTTAGAACAATTTTACTATCATCATTTCCATTTTAAAGATAGGACAGCTGAGGCACAGAGAGCGTGAGTCCATAGTCACACAGCTAGTAAGGATTGGAAGCTAGGTTACTTTTCATCTAAGTGTATAAAGCACTTTTTGGATTTTCCTTATTTTTTTAAATATTTTAATTTATTTATTCATGAGAGACATAGAGGCAGAGACACAGGCAGAGGGAGAAGCAGGCTTCATGCAGGGAGCCTGACATGGGACTCGATCCCAGAATCCCGGGGATCATGCCCTGAGCCAAAGGCAGACACTTAACTGCTGAGCCACCCAGGTGTCCTTGGATTTTCCTTATTGCTTTGAAAGGGTTTTTAAAGATTGGAAGAACGTGTAGTGATAAAGACCAGATAAACTCTTCAGTATTTCTTTTCATATGGCTTGAAATGCTCTTATTTTCTTTTAAAAAAAAACTAGAGTAACTTCATGATGCATTGTTGAATAATAAATGCTTTATGGCTGGATACTTTCCTGTTGGTAATAGCTATTATTTATTGAGTATCTTGTGAGTTCGGATGCCATGCTGAACATTTTATCATTTTTTCATTTAGTGAAGTATCCATTTTATAGAAAATGAGGCTTAGGGATCCCTGGGTGGCTCAGCGGTTTGGCACCTGCCTTTGGCCCAGGGCACGATCCTGGAGTCCTGGGATCGAGTCCCACGTCAGGCTCCCGGCATGAAGCCTGCTTCTCCCTCCTCCTGTGTCTCTGCCTCTCTCTCTCCTCTCTATGTCTATCATAAATAAATAAACAAACAAACAAACTTTAGAAATGGGTAAAATGTTATTAAAAAAAAAAAAGAAAGAAAGAAAATGAGGCTTGGATTAGTACACCCAACTCAAGCTAGTCCGGTCTCAGGACTCACTATCTTAGTGATAGCCTGTGTTCTTTCTGCCATGGGGAGAAGGTATACTGAGAACATAGAATGAACCTTTATTGTCAAGGTGGTAGGATAGTATTTCAGAAGGAATCCCTTCATCGTCTCATCCCCTGGCAGATTGAGGGTTGAGTGTCATTCTGGGGAATTCTTTCTTTTCTGGGATTTTTTGTACGCAGATGAATAAGGAAGAACCTACCTGTCTTCTTTCTCCACAGGATTGAGTTGACTATTTAGAAAGTTCATGGAGTATCTCTCCCACCTAAAATAAATATAATAATACTTTCTCCCTTCCTGCTTTACTGTTTCAGGGAGAATAATGTGTGTGACATCAACTCAGTGCATGGCTTGTTTGCCACGGGAACGATAGAGGTAAGCAAACGTGGCATTTATTTTTTTAACTTGTTTTGCATTTGATAATGAGTGGAGTTTTACTTGAAGATGGAGTGGCTTGTTCTAAAATCAGAGTGCTAAAGGAGCAGCAGGCTACTGGTTTACTTTTTGCAGGGACATTGGTAACGCTGCACACCCAGACAGGGCCCTTCTTTTGCCGCAGATTGGCCCTTGGTGTGTCTGCTCTGGCACACTTTGACATGGATCATCTCTGACATTGATCATCAGGAGCTAGATGAGCATTGCCAGCCTCAGGGGAGCAGTGGTAGCATTACAGCCAGTCCTGTTCCTAGCAGGATGCAATATGTCATGCAGTCCCAGCTCTGATACTTCCTGGCTTTACAACTGAATTACTTTCCCTGAGGCTGTTTCCTCATCAGTGACATAGAGATAATGATAGCTTGCTTGCCAGCTTTACAGAGGCGCTGGTGAGAGCCACTCCGAACACCCTGTGTGGAAACATTGTCGGCTATAAAGGCATACAAGATCATGATCTGTACATCCTGGAGAGTAGGATTCAGTAAATACACACCACTTCCCTTTTAAACTGTAGTACTTTGGAGTCTGTGTTCTTCGTACTTGTTGAGAATATTCCTAGATTTGCAGTTTTTTGTTTCTTTTTTAAAGATTTTATTTATTCATGATAGAGAGAGAGAGAGAGAGGCAGAGGGAGGAAGCAGGCTCCATTTCGGGAGCCTGACGCGGGACTCGATCCCAGGACTCCAGGATCACGCCCTGGCCCAAAGGCAGGTGCTAAACTGCTAAGCTACCCAGGGATCCCCAGATTTGCAGTTTTTAATTAAAATAAGTACTCAAAGTTTAAAAAAAAAAGTGAGAAATGTATTATTGAAAAAGTGTTCTCTTGTGCCTTCCAGTCATCAAATCCTACAGCCTGGAGTTAATTCTTTAATGTTTTTTTCCTAGGTATATGCAAATATGTGTATGTTAGTCATATATTTTTTAAAGCTTTTTACAAAAGTAAAATTATATTTCTTGACTTGCTTTTTTTTAAACATGATAGTATATAATATACATCTTTATACATCTGTACTTATAATGCTAAATTAATTTTAAATTTTATTTTATTTTTTAAAGATATTATTTATTCATGAGAGAGACAGAGAGGCAGAGACAGAAACAGGCTCCATGCAGGGAGCCTGATGTGGGACTTGATCCTGAGATTCCAGGAGTATGTCCTGGGCCAAAGGCAGGTGCTAAACCACTGAGCCACCCAGGCATTCCTAAATTAAATTTTTTAAACTGATGGATAGGATTCCATTTTTTAAAGGTACTATAGTTGATTAAACCAATCCCAGATGGATGAAATTTAGGTCTCTACTCAAATTATTTTTATGCATTTTTCTTTTAGTGATTGCATAGTATTATAGTATTCTTTGTTTTTTAAGATTTTATTTATTTAAGAGAGAATGAGCAGGGAGGAGGGACAGAGGGGGAGAGAGAGAGAAAGAGGGGGTGCGGGCAGACTCCCTGCTCAGCAGGGAGCTGATAAGGGGCTCGATCCCAGGACCCTGGTATCATGACCTGAGCCAGAGGCTAACCAACTACGCCACCCAGGCGCCTCAGCATAGTGTTCTTCTTAAATGGATTGTGCCAGTCACTCTCTTGCTCTATTGCTTGCAGTTCTTTTTTTGTTATTGTTTTTTCATTTTTTGCTTTATTTTTCCCCAGCTATGTATTTTTTAAAAATTCTGAAAAGTTGAAGACTGCACTTTCAAAAAAAGAAAAAAGAAAACCGCACTTTCTGAGAAATTGAAAACACAGTTCACTCATTACATACATTTTGCACATTTGCTTTCTTTTCCACAAAAATATGAGTGTATATATAAAATGTTTTTTGTACCATTTGAAAGCAAATTGCAGACATTGTGACATTTTAGCCCTAAATACTTCTGAATGTTTTTCTTAAAAGCAAGGACTTTCTTGTATAAAATCATAGTACTGTTATCCCTAAGAAATTTAGCATTGATACAATAAAATTATGTATTAAATACTTAACATTGATATAGTAAATATTTAAATATTTTCAGTTTTAACACAATGTCTTTCACAGCTCCTGCTCCACTCTACCACCCAAACCAAGGTCCAGTCAGGGATCAGACATTGCATTTTGGATTTTCTTAACCAATTTTTTTTTTCCTTTTAAAAACAAATTCAGCTCAATGTAAAATATTTGACAGTACCAAAAAGGGTGGAAGAAAAAAATTAAATTCTTAGCCCCATGAGATAATCAATGTTAGTAAAGCCTTTTTCAGTATTTGTCTAAGAATTTTCTGGCAGCAGCTATTTTGTAAAATTACCACGTTTTGTTTTTTTTTTTTTAGGGTCGAGTAGAGTGCTGGGACCCAAGAACTCGCGGTAGAGTGGGCCTGTTAGACTGTGCATTAAGTAGTGTCACAGCAGATTCAGAGTAAGTGGAAATGAACGTGGTTTAAGTACCCATCTGCTTATGATTTAAACACGGGTATCAATATTGCATTAAAATTAATTGCTGAAGGTATCTGAGGTGGTAGTTTTGTGAGTGTTTTATGTAAAAACCCTTTTCTGGAAAAGTTCAATAAGTGGGAAAGCCGGACAGAATTCCTTTCTAAGGTGCTACATAGAATGTCTTTTTTGTTAGTTGCTGTTGAATTTTATTTAAACAGGTACACTGCAGGAATGTGTAGTTCCAATTCTGTAGGATCTAGTGATAGAACCATGTGTTCACCACTGCAGTTAATAAGCAACAAGGTGTACTTTGAATTCTAAGGTAGAGGAAGGCAAGTGTTTCAGATATCTTCTTGTTCTTGTTTGCCAATTCCTACTGTAAAACAATCAGAAAAGTAACACACACTTGGGGGATGAAAACTTCTGCCTCCCTGAATTTTAGTAAGATGTATAGGCCTCTGTCTTCCCTCCACTCACCAGAGTGGTTACTGTTGCACTGTTTGGTACATATGTTTTCAGACATTTTTCTGTGCTCATATTAATACATATGCAATCTTACACTTTCTTGGTCAGATTCACGATTTGGGATTATTTGTTGTAATCATTTCAGAAACATCTTTTCTCTGGGATCTTCATATTTGTAGTATTGTGACTTTACTCATCATTTCGGTTGGCCAGACATATACCTGTAGTTGTGTTGTGTGGGAGGTAGAGTGTTTGATGGGTGGGCTGCAGAGAAAATGTGAACCCTCTAAATTATTTCTGATATTTGTGTCATTTGCATTTTTCTGGGGGAGAAAAGAATTTATGTAGTTCTTTCTTTTGAAAAATTAGCTTATTTAAAGCATTCTTGACTTAGAGAAAAGGTACAAATTGCTTAATTGGCAAGACGTCTTTTTCTAATGTATACATTTTTCCCTATATGATAAGTAAAGATTTAATTTTTTTCATCTTTTAATTATGACATTTAAAGGGAGTGTAGGTAGTGGGGGGTTGGGTAATTGGGTGACAGGCATTACGGAGGGCACATGATGTAATGAGCGCTGGGTGTTATATACAACTGATGAATCACTGACTATCTCTGAAACTGGTAATACACTGTACGTTAACTAATTGAATGTAAATTAAATAAAAAAAATAAAGGGAGTGTAGGGAATTTTTTTCCTTATTAATGAGTAATACTAAAGTAATACTAATGAACAATTTCCTTAATCATGGTATGGAGTATAGATAGTAGACAATCTTAAAGTGGAAAATTTACTTATTCTACATTCGTTTGTTTTTAGAATTAGACATTTCTATTGTGAAATACCATATACATACACAATCTCAAAACATTAATGTACAGATTACCAAATTATTATAAAGCTCTATGTTTGTCAATAGAAGAAACCAATAGAGAAATGATTCTCATAGAAGCCTGAGAAAACAGGCCAGCAGGAGTTCTATGTATTGTGTCTTAACACTTATTTTTACTGTAATTTTTATGACTGTAATAGAAGTAACATTATAGAAAATTTAAGGAAGGGATGTGAAAAGATAATCTTTACTGTGGTCTTTAGAAATATGGGAGTATTGTTTTTTTCTTTACATAAAATATTGATTTACAAACACTTCCTATGACCACTTTTGTTCTTGTGAGTTGAGTGTTTTTAGCTATGATGACAGTTATTTTATTTGCTTGTTTATTATTTTTCAAAGATATTTATTTAAGAGAGAACATGAGCAAGGATAGAGGGGCAGAGAGGGAAGGAGAAGCAGGCTCTCTGCTGAGCAGGGAGCCCAACGCAGTACTCAGTCCCAGGACTCTGGCATGAGCTAAAGGTAGATGCTTAACTGACTGAGCCACCTAGGTGCCCCCAAAGAAGAGATGTTTATGTAAATACCTTATCCTGGCTTAATCAAAGGGAAGATATTGTCATACTGATCTTTTTCAGGTGGTTTTATAGTTTTATAAATTTTTATTTTTGCTTGTAGATACTTTGACAGTATTTTTTACAGTTTGGAAGAAGCTAATCTACAGATATTTAAAGGCAGATTACATTTACATATAAAGCTTATTATTTTTTTAAATTTTTTTTTTATTTATTTATGATAGTCGACAGAGAGAGAGAGAGAGAGAGAGAGAGAGCAGAGAGAGACACAGGCAGAGGGAGAAGCAGGCTCCATGCACCGGGAGCCTGGCGTGGGATTCGATCCCGGGTCTCCAGGATCACGCCCTGGGCCAAAGGCAGGCGCCAAACCGCCGCGCCACCCAGGGATCCCCTAAAGCTTATTTTTTATTTTGATTAAGAAAGTCTGGATATAAGTACCTTTTTATTATTATTATTTTTATTTTAAAGATTTGTTTATTTTACAGAGAGGGAGAGAGAGAGAGAGAATGTGTGTGGGGGGAGAGGCAGAGGAGTAGAATCTTTTTTTTTTTTAAGATTTTATTTACTCGTGAGACAGAGAGAGGCAGAGACATAGGCAGAGGGAGAAGTAGGTTCCTCGTGGGGAGCCTGATGTGGGACTTGATCCCCAGGTCTGGAATCATGCCCTGAGCCAAAAGCAGATGCTCAACCGCTGAGCCACCCAGGCGTCCCTATAAGTACCTTTTAAATATTACGCTAGAAATAGGATTTTCTCCATTAGAATTAAAGATTAATGCATTTGTTACTTGAAAGGTTTGGCCATAATATATGGAACACAAATATTTTGCCTTTCAGAATAAACAGTTTACCAACAATCTCTGCTTTGAAATTTAATGGTGCCTTGACCATGGCAGTTGGAACATCCACAGGGCAGGTAAGTATGTTTAAGATGGAAACTTCATACTTAAGTTAGTATCTCAGAGGCATGTATATATTGTGGGAAACATCCACTTTATTTGTTCTGTTTGGCAACAGAAAATGAAGCATTATTGTTTTGACCAGAGTGGAGGGGGTACTCTGGAATGCTATACTCTTTTAGCACCTTGAGAAAAATCTTTTTTTTTTTTTTTAAAGATTTTATTTATTTATTCACGAGAGACACACAGAGAGAGGCAGAGACACAGGCAGAGGGAGAAGCAGGCTCCCTGTGGGGAGTCCCCATGTGAGATTCAATCCCAGGACCCTGGGATCACAACCTGAGCTAAAGGCAGATGCTCAACTGCTGAGCCACACAGGCATCCCCACCTTGAGAAATTTTGATTGTGGCCTTCATGGTTGATCTGAGAGGTTTTTTTTTTTTAATAAGATTTTATTTATTTATTCATGAGAGACACAGAGAGAGAGGCAGAGACACAGGCAGAGGGAGAAGCAGGCTCCACGCAGGGGGCCTGATGTGGGATGTGATCCTGGGACTCCAGGATCACGCTCTGGGCTGAAGGCGGTGCTAAACTGCTGAGCCACCTGGGCTGCCCAATCTGAGAGGTTCTTAAGCTGGAGCTACAATGGAGCTATTTATTATGCCTCAGGCATTCTCCTAAATGTGATTTAGAACAATATTTTCCAGTGTGTGGGTCAGCAGAGCTTGGAATTTCAGCAGATTCCTACTCTTGCAGGATCACAGTGCATTTGCGTACATATTGAAGCTCTGAAAATTCATCTAGACAAGAAATGTGCTTAACAAGTATTTCCAAAATTTATGTATCCCAGGAAGCTTTTTTTCACCGAGCACCATTGACCCCATGCCATGCAATAATGTACGTTCGCAGTGCTCGTCTGACAAGTATGGGTTGAGTAGCCACTGTGACCTATTCTTTCTTCCCTTCTTTCCTTCAAGGCAGAGCCCACACACTTGCAGGTTTGCTCTCCTCTGAAACAGATTCAAGACCCTACTTCCAGTGGAGATACTGCCTGTGTTGTCATGGTCTGCAGAAGATCTGTCACCAGGGGCTGAGGTCTGGCTTCTGCAGCCCTCTGGTCCTCCCCACCTCCCCCCACAACAGTCATAGCTTTGCCACCACTGTCTGCTCAGACCTGCTGTGATTATGTTCAGCACGCCTTTTTTTCGTTTTTTTTTCTTTTTCTTTTTTTTTCTGTTTTTTTTTTTCACGCCTTTTTTTCTTATTTCTGTCAGCAACTCTGACAGTGCGTGGTACATGTAGGTCCTCGGTATATATATTTGTTTTAGTTCACAAATGACACAGACTCTTACAAATTTTTCTTTCTGTTCCTTTCTTAGCATAGCCCAGTCATTCTCAATCTTAGTGTGCCCAAAAATTATTCTCTGGTGAAATTCATAAAACTGTGTTACTCTAAGGGTGATTTAATAGATTTTTCTAGAATGTTTTTGTTGTCAGACTTTTAGAATCATTGTGCCCTGAGTAAGGTGTTCATTATACTCATAAAAAGGCAGTAAAACAAATGGCAGCCATTATTCTAAGTTTTCAAAGTTGTTTGTTTATTTATTTATTTATTATTCAAAGTTATTTTTAAGATACAATTTGTTTAAACAAATCATTTGTTTTCTTTCTCTTAGGTTTTATTATATGACCTTCGATCGGATAAGCCACTGTTGGTTAAGGATCACCAGTATGGGCTGCCCATTAAGTCAGTTCATTTCCAGGATTCATTAGATTTGATTTTGTCTGCAGATTCGCGCATCATCAAAATGTGGAATAAGAACTCAGTATGTACTTATTAGGATATTTTCCTAATATTTCTTTTCTTTCTGTTGTCTTTTTGAGTTATGTGGGCTTTTGAGAAAGAGATGCTAAGTACTCATGTGAGAGTTTAGTTGGGAGTCAGTTACTTTAGCAGAGATAATATTCATACATAAATAAAGTAGTGAAGACTGCTTTCTTACTGCTGAGAAGTTGTCCTGGTTTGCTAGAACTGGCATGCCTTTCTGCATGTTCAGTTAGGTAGAGAGTAAATCCCTTTTTAAAAACATCGCTCCATGAGAACCTCCTAGATCCTGAGGCTCTTTCACAGCTTGGGAAAGTTTTTATGAGCTACTAATTATCTTTCCATGTCAACGTTATTATGTATCTCAATTTCATACCTTTTAAAACGCATCTCAAATAATTGCCTTCTGGAAATGACCCCTTTTCAATAATTTCTTAAAGTGTTTTTCTTAAAAACATTATTAAGAATATTTGATGTGGGGACACCTGAGTGGCTCAGTTGGTTAAGCTCTGACTCTTGATTTCGGCTCAAGTCACAATCTCAGAATTGTAAGATTGAGCCCTGCAGTGGGCACTGTGCTTGGTGGGGAGTCTGCTTGAGATTGTCTCTCTCCTTCTGCCTCTCCCTGCTTGTGTGTTCTCTCCTTCTTTAAAAAAAAAAAAAAAAAAAGAATATTTGATGTTCTTTCTTCTCATTTCCAAGTGTCATTTAAAATGTAAAAGTAACAAGCCTACATTTCTGGTTTTCACCAGCCTTATGCTTTTCATTTTTTGTTTTAAAACTTTAAATATTTTGAGAGTTGGGACACCTGGGTGGCTCAGCGGTTGGGTGTCTGCCTTCCCCTCAGGGCCTGATCCAGGGTCTGGGGATCAGGTCCCATGTCAGGCTCCCTACGGGGAGCCTGCTTCTCCCTCTGCCTGTGTCTCTGCCTCTCTCTGTGTCTCTCATGAGTAAATAAATAAAATCTTTAAAATTTTCTTTGAGAGTAGAGAAAGATCAGTTTGTTAATAAAATGGGAAAAAATTCAGTATAGCATATTTTTTTTTAAGATTTTATTTGTTTAGAGGGAGAAAGAGCACAAGTGGGGTGAGGGGCAGAGGGAGAGAGAAGCTCAAGCAGACTCCCCGCTGAGTGCAGAGCCAACACAGGGCTCAATCCCAGGACCCTGAGATCGTGACCTAAAGCAAAATCAAGAGTTGGATGCTCAACCGACTAAGCCACTCAGACATCTCAATATAGCAATGGCTTTTAAGAGTTCTTTGTATTTGGGGATCCCTGGGTGGCTCAGCGGTTTAGCGCCTGCCTTTGGCCCAGGGCATTATCTTGGAGTCCTGGAAGTGAGTCCGACATCCGGCTCCCTGCATGGAGCCTGCTTCTCCCTCTGCCTGTGTCTCTGCCTCTCTCTCTCTCTCTCTCTCTCTCTCTGTCTCTGTCTCTCTGTGTCTCTCATGAATAAATAAAATCTTAAAAAAAAAAGAATTCTTTGTATTTAATTAATTACAAACTTCAGTGTCTTTAGTAAAAAGTGTTACTTCTTCTTTTTTTTTTTTTTTTTAATTCATTTTTGAGGTGAAGGGGGTGGAAAGTCCAGCAGCCTCAGCAGTAATTGCCAGAGCTGCACATGTCCAGGTCAGAAGTGCTGCTGCCGTCCCATCGTACTTCAACTACATCCCAGGGTCCCCGGCTCCCGGGACCATAACTTTTGTTTTTAATTTTCTTTTGGTTAACTCCCAGAGTATTGGCCTTTGTCATCATGTCTTGAATTAGAATTTGGCTGCAGCTTCTCACTGCGTGTGCAGTGGGTATCTTCCCCATGCTATAACTAAACCCCCACTCCTTCTCATGGGAGCCTCTGATGATACATTAATAAATGCAAGAGCTAGCAGACATTTTCAACATCAGTTCTTGAAATTATTCCACTGCGGTTGCTGCAATGCATTTTCTTTTGGTGTTGTTATGACTAAATACGCCCTCTTGACCAACACCCAGATTGCTTGGTTTTGCTTCACTCGTTTTCCTTATTTACCTTTCTCATCACCTTTTTCCCTTTCCCATCTTCTTATCTTTTGCCTCTGGTTTCTTTTACTGTCCTTCTCTTAATTTTTTAAAATATAACACATTTCTCCCCCTGCCCCCATATTGAATATAAAAGTCTAAGCCTTTCCTGCATAACTAACACGTTACATGTTTATAGGATCACATTTTGTAGGTTATTTTCTGCCCATGTCTTACTCGATCCTCCTCAGAGCTTTGTGATCCAGGTGTTGCAGATATGCTCTCCTCTGACCCTGCTGACCATCTCCCATTCTTTGCTTTCTCTGAGTACAAGCTTAACTGAGCCCTGTCTTCCAGATGAGAAGTATCTCTCTAAGTTGATGCACAACCATAGCTTAAACTTTATGTAACCGCTGCTGGTGTATGGACATTATCTGTGAAACTGTATTTCCTTGGATAAATCACCTTCCCCCCCCAGGCCTCAACTTCTCCATCTCTAAAGTGAACGCATTTCATAAGTTGATAAAATGAATTCCCTACTATTTTTGAGACTTAAATTCTGTGCTTTCAACTAGGTAATGTTATTTTTTTACATAGTAGTTTGTGGTTAGGTTAGATCTCTGGTTTATTTTTTTTACTCAACATTGCTAAAAGTTGTCTTCCTTTAACTGTTTTAATAATTCCTTTTTGCTTATTCTTCTAGGGAAAAATATTTACTTCCTTGGAGCCAGAACATGACATTAATGATGTCTGCCTCTACCCCAACTCAGGTATGCAGTAGCCATTCAGTGGGATAAATCTAGGCTATGTGTTATAGGGTTTTAAATTGATTTCATTTCTTCAGACAGGGTTTGGCTTGGTTAGGACAATTCTTGGATATTATATTTACTGGAAGAATCAAGAGCAGGAAGTGGTGTGAATGATTCAGAAAATGGCACTTGGTGACTCAGTCCTTAGCTGGCCTAGCTATTAGTAGAAACTAACAATATATAGGCAGGTGGCAGGTGAGATGCTATTTTAGTGTGCTCTTCACTCTTTTATGTGATTAGTAATGGTGTGTGGAAATTGAGGTCAGGGATTTGGAGAAGGCTGGGATTGCCTGATAATCCACAGGGCTTCCGCAGTTGTGGGTTTTGGTGTCTTCTGTGTTTTATGCTGTTCAGCATGCATCATGGATTTCAAGACTTATGATACCTTCGAGACAAATCATTGAAGAATTTTGGGTTACAAAAGTAAAGAACAGTCCCCACTCTCAAGCAGTGTTGTATTCTAAGGACAGGTGTTCACAGATCATTTTGATGGAGGGATACAAAGCAAAGTAGGAAAAATTCTGTGATGTACAAACAGCACTTTGATAGCATGTTAGAGTGAGGGGTTTCAGCCATAGCAACTGGGGAGATTGCAGAGGAGATGTTGGTTTGCATATATTTGGTAGGTGGGGTGGGGAGATGGGACGTTCCACGTGAGGGAGCAGTGTAGGAAGGGCGTGAGGGAGCAATGTAGGAAGGGCAAGAGGGAGAGGGTACAGCAGGTACTATAGGGTATCATTCATGGGGCTTGGTTGGGAAAGGGGTGGAGCCTTTATGCGGGAGCCCTAGTGGCTCTCCCAGGAATGAAGGTGGCAGAGGTCCAGGAGTGATGTGCTGAATGGTTTGGGCTCAGTCTGTAGTCAGGACCTGTTAAGACCATGGTTTCAGAAGATGGTTCTGTCCATCGTGTAAAGGATAGATTGGTGTAGAACTAAAAAGAGTAGGAGGGGATATTCTGAGCTAAGGAGAACACAAGAGACCAAGCCAGTTTAGACAGATTGTTTTCTTTTTTAAACATTCAAATATCAAGAGGCGGTAGGTTAGTGACAGTGTCTGGCAGAGGGTCTCACACCTGCTGCTTGTCAGTATCATATTGGGAACCTTTTTAAAAACTACACATCTCTGGGCCCAGTCCCCGATGGACTGACTGGAGTGTCCCAAGGAGGGCCCAGAAGCATGTGTTTGTAATGTGTTTGCCAAATACTCAGGAGGCTCTCGCTGGACCCATAGCCTTGTGGTGGGAGCCAGGTCTAGTGGCCGGTAGAAAGTGTGGTCTCGAGAGAAGCAGGTCTGTGGTTACGAAGTTTGGAGACATATAAGTAGAGCTGATTTCAGAAGAAGTTAGAGTATGTGAGATCACTGCAGGAAAGTGTAGAGGTCAGGACCTGAATCCATTTAGAGAGGGTGTGGGGAGAAGGAAGACGCAGCTGAGAAACTTCACAGGAACAGACAGAGGCCAGAGAAGGGACCGAATTTGAAGTAGGCGATTGGGTAAGGCATGGACGATCGGGTGAGCGCTGCTGGGCAGGTCTGAGGATGGTCAAAGTTGAGGTAGGAGGAAAAGCGAGTTCTCAGCACTCCTGTGCTACCAGGCTCGGCAATACCCATGCATCATTCATCTGTTCAGAACCCTGTGTCGTTGCACACAGTTGTTTCTTTTTTCCTGTTTGTTTTGCATCTTAGGAGGGGAGGATGGTTGGGTAATCGGGCCAGAATTGGTCGCCCCGCTGGTGTGTGGCAGGGCCTCAGCTAGAGCCAGTCTTTCCTGATTCTGGAGCCCTTGCCCTTTCTAGTTCCATGCTGCTCTCCCTGGAGAGCTGAGAAGCTGCAGTTTTGTAATCAACTATTTATTTATGATTTCATAGCAGAAGTCGGGGTGAAGTCAGATTCTGATGGGTTGAGGAATAAACTGCAGTGAGGATGGTGGAGTCCGAGTTAGAGAGAGTAGACAGTCTGAGAGGTGGTCTTAGACAAGAAGATGAGTAAGACCAGGTGAAAGTGACGTCGGAACAACGGTGGTGAGCAGGTTTTGCCGGATTGAGGGGAGAGTTTGAAGGGGGCAGCTGGTGCTGGGAGCAGGAGGCTGCATCACCACTTAACGATCCTTCAACACTGGCAGGGCGACTCATTGAACAGAGGTGTGCTTTATGTGTAAAATAACAGGTTTCAAAGACGTTATACAGATAAAAAATAATGTGAAATAGAGGAGCGTGGGCACTCAGTTGGTTAAGCCTCTGACTCTTGATTTCGGCTCACATCATGATCTCAGGGTCATGAAATCGAGCCCTGTATCCAGCTTGATGCTGGGTGTGGACCTTGCTGAGAATTCTCTCTCTCCCTCGCCCTCTGCCCCTCCCCCTGCTTGCATGCACATGCGCACACACACGCTCTCTTTAATTTTTCATGTGAAAAGATTTTGGACATATTAAAATCATTTTCCCTGTTTTAAAAACATTTTTTGTTTAAATGTGTCTACCAGAAAACGTGAAATCACGTGTGTGCCTTGCATAATATTTCTGTCTTGCGGTACCGGCCAGACGCAGGGATCTTTCCCAGGGTAGGATGCTGCCAAGATGCAAGGTGTTGAAGTCGGGCAGGGGCAAGCAGCATTAATCTTGTTGGAGTAGGGACGTTCCTCTAGGAGTCCGATCCCATCTGATAATTCTGGTTCCCCAGCATTATATCCTGTCCATTCTCACATTCCCCATTGTCCCCCATATGCCTTTCGTAGCCCATTGTTTGGAACCAGGCTGTAGTCAGTTGTGTGTTACATCGATGTTTGGCCATGTTTAGTTTCTTTCAACCATAATAGCGTGCCCCCCCCCCCACATCCCCCATGGGCTTTTTTGTTTGTTTGTTTGTTTGTTTTTGCCTTCTCCATGATGTTGACTTTTCCAGGATCAGTCAGTAGTCTCAGAAAATGCCCCTCACCCTGGGTCTGTGTGGTTGGTTTTCATAATGTCGTTTACCTTGTGCCTCCAGTCTGTATTATTTTTTCCCAAATAGAAGTTCGGCCTAACTGTGGTGGACTTTAGGTTAAGTATTCTGGACAAGAGAAATGGTGGGTTCTCCATGTCAGACCCCATCCCATAGCCCTCTAGGGCCAGTGAGGGGCAGTGTGGCCCCAGGTTAAGGTGACCACCAGGTCTCTTCATTGCAGAGTACACTTTTCTGAGAGGTAAAAATGTGAAGAGTAATGTTTTGGATAGAAGAACAAGGTGACTGACAGATATCTTATAAGAAGTGAATCAAACACCAAAAAATAGCCAAGTAATGTATTTCCTGAGCCGGCAAGCACATTAGGACAAGTACCTCAGCTGCCGCCTTGGGGTTTGGATGTGAGCAGGCTTGATTTCACGCGTCTCACTGCTTTCCCTCGCTCTGCTCCTTTCCCTTTAATACCACTGTTGCTACTTCGTGCTTAATCATCACGAGCTTAATCATATTTTAGAAAAGCTAAAACGTTCTTCTTTCTTTATCTTCTTGCTTACTCATTTTGAAGTAATGAAAGCCGAATCACAATTATTGTTTTGTCATGTTTTTCTAATACAGAGATGGCTCAGAATATTGAGAAATGTTCCCGCCTTCCTGGCTCCTTTCTGGGTCCTTCTCAGTGCTCATTCAGCCCGGCTCCAGTGTCTCTGTGTCTGGCAGCTGCATGCAGGTTGGCCCGGAAGGGGTGGTGCGCAGCACGTGTGGCTGAGCCCCGCCGCAGCTGGGAGTCAGGATGGCTGGGTTCAGGTCACTGGGAGAGAGAAGATGGGCTTTTCACCCAGAAAGCTTGAGCTGAGGCTGAGTAGTCCTATAAAGTACACTGTGTGGGTCTCCCCAGCTGCCTTCCAGGCTCCTGGAGACTGCCTGCACTGGCAGATCGGAGGAAACCTTGCCTTCTCCCAGCATCGAAAAGAGTGGCTCAAGACACCTATAAATACTCTCGGTGCCCTCTTTGGGAAAACCCCACGCTCACAGCAGGAGTTGAGTACATGGAAAGAGGTGTCCTGGCCTCTCCTCTCTGGCACAGTTCTATACTCAGACTGTATACTCCGTGTTGTTCATGGCAATGACCGCTGCTGGCCGACTAGTACAAAAGTGTCTGAAGGACTAAGATTTTGCTTTTCCTTTGTTTTTAAATTTTCAATCCATGGCAGGCCACTACTTTCGTAAAATGTAATAAAAATGAATTACAAGGAAAAGGCAATGTGGCATGGCTCCACCGGTTTCTAGATACTTCCCTTCCATTCCTCCACTTCCCCTGGGCCTGGGCCCACTTTGCAGATTGGCCCTGGGAGCTGGCCAAGTAGAACTGGCAGAGAGCATGGTTTCAGATTTTGAACATTGTGCTTCAGTGAATCCTTGAGCCCCTGAAGCACATGCAGGTGAGAATTGACGTGTGCTCGCTTCCTGGGAGGGCCCTGCTGTTCCATCCAGGTTTTTGTGACTGCACCGTGAAGCTGCACAGCACATGGGATAGCACATGCTATAGCAGATACCAGACTTGAGGTGTGTGTTTTTTTGTTTGTTTGTTTGTTTGTTTGTTTGTTTTGTTTTTTAAAGATTTTATTTATTTGGGGCAGCCCAGGTGGCTCAGCGGTTTAGTGCTGCCTTTGGCCCAGGGTCTGATTCTGGAGACCTAGGATCGAGTCCCACGTCAGGTTCCCTGCATGGAGCCTGCTTCTCCCTCTGTCTGTGTTTCTGCCCCTCTCTCTCTCTCTGTCTCTCATGAATAAATAAATAAAATCTTAAAAAAAAAAGATTTTATTTATTCATGAGAGAGAAAGAGGCAGAGACATAAGCAGAGGGAGAAGCAGGCTCCCTACAGGGAACCTGATGTGGAACCCGATCCCAGGACCCCAGGATCACACCCTGAGAGGAAGGCAGACGCTTAACCACTGAGTCACCCAGGCGCCCCAAGGCGGGCTCTTAGACTCTAGGCGCTCCTGAGCTTCTCCCTCTCTTTTATAGTTAATATTGTCATTGTTGACACTAATAAGCATCACTACAAAGGACATGGGGGAGGAAAAACCATTCATCATTCCACCCTCTCCTCCCGAGTACTGTTACAGTTTCCATGAAAGAAATTCTTGTATTTATCTTGTGTTCATAGGTTTTCAGTTGTTGTCCTCACACTGTATGTATAGTTGTCTTTTGCTTTCCAGTTGACATATTAGTTTTTTTTCCTTTTGCTGTATGGCATTTATATTTGAACTTCTGAAATTTTTAGTATTTGACCACGCAAGAAGTCTTTCATTTTATCTTAGCTGTGGTTGTGGTTTGAGAGTCCTGTTCCATGGGCTTTGGAGTCTATAGAACATCCGCTTCTCTCCTTCCTAGCCGTGTGGTGACCTTGAGCAAACCATCTAACTTTCTGAGGCCGTGTTATCTGGAAGTCAGGTTCCTGGCACAGGGCCTTATACTCTTCTCCTCTCTTGAATGTGATCATCTTAATTTCTCCTGAATTTCTTTTGCTGATTTTACGTACTTCTTTTGGCTTCTTGTTCTTGGGCTTTGCCAGGTTGCCTGGTTTTTTTCATTCATAATTGGTTTCAGTCCTGACCTTCCCCACTTTAGTTTGGTAGTAGGTCAGCTTGTATCATTGTCCATGTATGGCCAAGTGAGATCCTATTCCATTGTGGAAAACAATCTGCTTTTTCTAGTCTGAGTTATTTTGTGCAGTTAGATTAGAGCTTTCTCACTGGTTTGTTGGGTAGGTGTGATTGTGTTTCCTTGTGGAATGCGGGTTTTTGAATGATCCGTGTTCACAGTCGAGCCATTGAAGCCAGGCTTAGGGAATCTCTTTCGCAAGAACTTTCATTTTGGTTGTAATCTGTCTCCTCAGTCCCCAGAACGACTTCTTTTTATCGTGTCTAAAAGGTATAGGGAAAGGTTTGGCTCTAAAATTCTCTAGCTTGTGGCAGGGCACTTGGTCCCTTTGAGCTTTTTTTTTTCCCCCTATCTGTAAAAATGGATGCTATTATTTCTTATTTCAGAGACTTGTTGCATGTTCACCAAGTTAATATCTGTGAATGCTCTTTGTCATTCTGGAACAGGGGCTATGAGGACTGGCACTGCTTTGGAGGCTTGTGGGAAGGAGTAGGTTGCAAATGTGGCAGAGGGCAGAGACCAAAACTGGGACATGGACACACTGGTATTGTGCTGCAGAATCATGGGGTCACTGGGTGCTGCTGCTCCTGGGGCTTGGGGGGATGCCTTCACCAAATGCTGGGAACTTTTCCCATACTTCAGTTCTGCTTTCTTAAAATGCGGATCTGTTAGTTGAGTCTCATCAAATTCCCTTGGGAGTGAATGAACTGGGGTAGAGTAAGGGCTGTTAGATGCTCTTTAGATCTTTCCTGGTATGGCCACACAGAGCGTTCCCCTTAAGTCAGTGGTTTTGTTTTCAGTTCAGGTGTGAAATTTAATGCAAACCTGAGGAACTACGTTGCTGTGACATTCTGTGGAAGATGCTTTGCCTTGGTTCTTTGATTCCTGATAACAGAAAGAAGCCTTTGTTCTTCATTGTTGTCATCATCATTATTAACTAGTGCACCAGAAGTATATTTTATGTATCTACGTGTCTAAAGCATCAAACTCTCTCCCCCTTAAGAACAATGGCAAACTTTATGTAGACCTGAGCACCTAATGGTAGAAACTGCTTACTTACTTGGCTAGTTCAGCTTGAGCATTTTGCAGGTAGGGAAGCTGGTCTTCGTGATACTGAAGGCTCCCCATCTAGGAGGATCAGAGACTGAAGCCTGTGACCTGATTCCTGGGGTGCCTGGCCTCCAGGCCCTGCTCTTCTGCGGCGTGTGTCTTCTGAGCACCTGGAGCATTTCAAAGTGTAATACAAATAGAAAAAGGCACCTTTCTCTTACCCGTGTGTTTACCTTTTTCATTGTGTTTATTTTTAGGAATGCTTCTTACTGCCAATGAAACCCCCAAGATGGGCATCTATTATATTCCGGTAAGTAATTTGAATAGTAGTTACGGTAAATGTAGGACAAGCAAAGACAGTTTATTTTTAAACTGGTTGTATTGAAGGCGTTTGGGTCTGCATGCGGTTGCATAAATTAAACATAGCGAACTCACTTGTAGTTTCACTTTGCTTCCTGGAGCCAGTAAAATAATGCTTAACTATTCTTTTATGGGAAACTGCTTACTCTCACATTAAAATAGGGATTAGGAATTAGTGTTTGTTTTTCACATTGACATTTGGTTTTTGTTTCCGAAGTATTGCTGAATCTTAAGCTTTAAGCTGTTAGTGATCAGGAGGTCTGATTCTAAACCAACAGCCTGGTGCTCTTTAGTCATTTCATTGTTTCTCTTATAAATAAGTTCCGCCTAAGGAAACGGTCAGACGGATCTGGTCAGTGATGGCATGCAGTCACAGTCTCGGCCTTTATTCTTCTTTAAGAAATTCTCTTGCATGTGACAGAAGCTTCCCTACCTTTACCATTAGATTACAATAAGAAAGAGACATAGGGGAATAAGATCTCCTGAATAGAAAACCACGTAGTACAGCGTTGGCACTAGATTACTTTATGGCTGGCAACCAGCTCCTTTTCTGAGATTTGGGGAGAGGAGGGTGAGGAGTGTTGCAGAGCAGGACTTTAGGAAGGTCAACTCTGTAACTGCTGTCAGCCTCCAGTTGGGAAAGTTCTTCATATTTACAATTGTCCTTTTAAAATAGCTTAATGGTGTGTATATTTCCCAAAAGAAGTATTCTGGTTGATGTCAACTTTCTGTGGTTTCAGGAAACTCCTGAGTTGTTAAAAGTGCTTTGAGATAATTCTTTTGGTTGCTAGTGAAACGGAGGCCATTCAAGCAGCAAACTCTGATGCTTTTCTAAATTGTTATTTGTTCCATTTTCCCCAGCCTCTCCAGTACTGCTTCTGTATTCCTATCCATTTTTCCGTCTTTCCTCATGTTTGTTTGTTTGGTGAATACATTTATTAATTGCATCAATGGTGTGTCAGGCTGGATGCTAGATGCCAGAAGAGTAATGGTGTATAGAGCATTGCCCCTTTCCTCACAGAGTTGGCTGACAGGGAATGAAGAAAGGAGCAGTTCGAGTCCAGTGTGAAGAATGCTGTCATGGGAGTAAGGAGAGTGCTCTGGAGTGCTTGGGAGAGCAGATGCGCCACCCAGTGTGGAGCTGGGACCTGGTGGCTGGTGCAGAGGGTACTCAGAAACCTGCCCATGGAGATGGACTTCCAAGGAGAGACTGGAGGGTGGTTACATATATCAGATGGAGAGGGTGGGGTTCAGAGTGGGAGAGAGATCTTAGAAGTAGAGGGAGCAGGGTGCAGATGTCAGGGAGAAAGTAGCCAACATGGCTGGGGCACAGAGAGAGAAGGATGGGGGTCAAGAGCCAGATGGTGGAGGTCTTATAAATCAGGGTGGCTTGTGGGCAGGGAGGCCTGGATAGGCTTCAGGCAGGGGAGTGATATAATCAGATTTGCACTTGGGAAGGATTATTTTGGCTTTCCAAGGAGAATGGCTTAGACAGGATCTAATATGAATACGCCAAAGCCACATACAGGAGAGCTAATGGTACCAGTGCTACCTCTGCTGGGCTTCCATTTTTAATGGTTGTAGCCTTTTGAGTTCTGGAATAATTTGAAGCAAGATCGAACCAGCAGGCAGTAATCTCAGAGGTTTGTTATCCTTGCATTGCCAGATGGCATGTCCCAGAGGTGTTTAATGATGAAGGCTTGTACAGATCATGAGAAATGCCTTGCCCCGGTCCAGTATGACAGTCTTCAAGAGAAACAGAATAAATCCGCTTACCTCCTACACATTACTGCTCGTCTTGAGAGAAGTCTCTTCATTTTCCTCTTCGGAGTGCTTATTATGTTTTGGTCTTACCACTTGCCCATAAGGTGTTAATGTCCTGGGTGGTGCTTTCCTAGGTCAAACTTAGGAGAATCAACCAGTGGATGGGGGTGGAGGTCTAAGATGGGGCATGAAGGGCTGCATCAGGAGGCTCCCTAAGTGGATAAAGAACCACAGGCCTCAGAGCCCCAGAGCCGCTTGGTGGGGAGGCAAGAGGGGCTGTCCTGAGTGCTTGTGCACTAAAGCCACCTCACCCGTTTGTGCTCTGCTGCCAGCAGTGGGGATAGGATTGAAAGATAGACTTGGCTACTGATGGGACTTCGGGAGTAAGAGAGAGGGAGAGAGCAGAGACAGCAGCTCTGTTTCTGCTCAGGGGGAATGGGTGGAAGAGGAAAAAGAGGGCGGGGGATAGTAAAAAATCAATCTCCCATTGGTATCCTCATCTGCATTTTATAAAATGATCTTTAAAAGGAACAAGCACACAGTTTTTTTGATTAGACAATGTATGCATGTTTCTAATTATTCCAAGTGTTGTACAAGGTATGAGGAAATAAAAGCCACCCATTACCCCTTGATACTCTTAAAAACACTATTTCTTTTGGGATGTGGTATTTTTCAGTTATGATGTCATTGGTGTGAAGTTATATTTTATATAAAAGTTTGTATCCTGGGCTCTTCAGATTAACTTCAGAAATATTAATTCCAAGGCATTAAAATCACCTAAAACATTTTTAGTTGTCTCTGTTGTTTTTGCTTTCATTATAATTCCAGTGTAGTTAGCATACAGTGTGACATTAATTGCGGGTTTACAGTGGCCAGCACTTCTGTAACTACTTCGCCAGTGCTCATCACAGGGCACTCTCGGTCCCCTGCACCTATTTCACCCATCTTCTCCCTCCCCGTCCTGCTATCTGTATTAGTTTTCATTGCCTGGCTCATGACATTTATATAATCTTAGGACTATAGGAGACCCATGACTTAGTTCTCACTTTCTGTCTGTTTGTTGGGGTGGATTTTTTTGTTCCAAGTAATATGGACTTTTTTTTTTAAATAAATTAATTTTTATTGGTGTTCAGTTTACTAACATACAGAATAACACCCAGTGCTCATCCCATCAAGTGTCCCCCTCAGTGCCCGTCACCCATTGTAATATGGACTTTAAAGAGCATGAATGATAAGGGTCAATGCCAGCCAGATGGTGAGTAACTGCTTTCTTGACAAATGGTAGCTTGTCTTCTTAGACCTTTTTAGTTTGTGCTTTGTGACTTAGAATTAACAGAGGCTGTGTAAAAAAGCCCACAGGGACCGCTCCCAGGTGACTGTGTGTGGTAACAGTGGGAGCATGTCGTTCTTTCCCAGCTAAGCACTGTGCTGGGACTTGTATTCAATGCTCCTTCCTGACTGCCTTTTTACCCTGCACTGCATGATGTTTTAGAGTGCCCTTGTCTTTCTTTGGAACCTCTTCTTTTGTAAGCGTCCTTCAGAGCAAGGAGAGAGCCCAGGGCTCTGAAAGCCTGCCGTTTTTCTAAAGATTTTATCAAACTTACCAAGCTGATATTTGACACAATGATTTCTTTGAGGCCTATAAAACCGGGAAGTATGTTTTTAATATATGATTCATGCCAAATTTAGGAGATTTGCATTGTGATGTATTGGAACATAAATCAGGTATGAGGCCCCAATCCTCCACTTTGGGCCTGTACTAAATAAAAAGGAAGACAGCTTAATGTTCTTTTAGCTTAAATTTGGCAACTCTATCTCTTACCATTTTTCCTGAATACTTGAAATCTTTATAGATTAAGTGCAATTCCTGATGTACACACTTTGCCACATACAGAACCCCATAACTGATGAGTCTTTTATGGCCAAGTGGGTTTTTTCAAGCCCTTTCTCTATTTTCTCGGTATGCTCTTCCCCCACCTCCCCCCGCCTCCTCTCAGAGACCAAGAGGTGTTATTTTGCTTGTTTGTTTGCATTTTAAATTCTAGGGTCTAACTCAGCTGCAGCTCCTGAGACGAAAGTCAGGAATAGTTTTTTAGGTTTGGTTTTCTTCTGCAATGTAATTTAATCTTAGGGTAGTTCTTTATACTTAAACCTTTGGCAACTGTGAGTGGTTTTTAGAGGGAGTCCAAATGTCCTGTAGCACCCAACCTGAAACCCAGCCAGGGTGGTTAATGCTGTCTCTGTTGGAGATGACCCTAAGTTCCAAGCCCCAGTGTGTCAGGAGCTCCCGAAACCCCTCATGACTGGATAGTTGATTGCTTGCACGCTTAATAATATGTATGGATGTGTAACCTTGAGGAAAAATGTAAAAGGATAAAGCATCATTATTTGTTTAGGAAGCTGTTTAATTTAGAAGAATAAAAGGCAATTGAAGATATATTTTTAAAACTTGTAGGGGCACCGGAATGGCTCTATCAATTAAGTGTCTAACTCTTGATTTTGGTTCAGGTCATGAACTTAAGGTCAGGAGATCCGAGCCCTACATTGGGCTCTGCACTGGGGATGGAGCCTGCTTGAAATTCTCTCTCTACCTTTCCCTCTCCCCCTCCAACCCCCTCAAAAAAAAGCCAAACTAACTCCCCCTAAAAAAACACAAAAAATTTAAAAAATAATAAGACGTGTGGGATCCCTGGGTGGCGCAGCGGTTTAGCACCTGCCTTTGGCCCAGGGCGTGATCCTGGAGACCCAGGATCGAATCCCACGTCGGGCTTCCGGTGCATGGAGCCTGCTTCTCCCTCTGCCTGTGTCTCTGCCTCTCTCTGTGTGTGTGTGTGACTATCATAAATAAATAAATAAAAAAATAATAATAAGACGTGTAAATATAAGCCACTATTAAGATTATATGCAACATCACCAAAACCAACAATCAATATTGGCAGTTAAGCATTTTATTTTAAAACAATTTTTTAAGGAAAAAGAATAAATACATTGTTTTTATTGAAGTGTTTTTATTATTTGTAAAAAATCAAGCATTAACTATTTTAACATTCACTATTGAAAAGTATGTTTTAAGTTTGGAAAGTACTTTTGAATCCAAAGCATCTGGAATTGGGCAGGATTTCAAAATTATAAATCCAGGATTTCAGATATTACAAATAAAAACAATATTCAAATAAAAAAGGATTA